TTTTTAAAAAAAAAAAAAAAAAAAAAAAAAAAGATTTGGCTTGTTTGGAAACAGGATTTGTCTAGCCTGATTGTCGCTCAAGTAATACTAGTAAAACTAATGTAACCAATAAATAAACAAACAAACAAAAGAATAAATGTATTGTTGATATACCGTATCACAATATATTTAATATGGAGTATACCATTAATATATTTGATATTGATATATCATTTATAGGAGTAATATATTTCATTTCAAATCTACTACTCATATATACCATAATATAATTGATACACCTAAAGCCAAGGTATAGTAGATTTTCTCACATTTTTGGGTTAATCTTCCATCATTTGCCATGTCTGCAAACCCTAAAATCATTAATTATATTTACAATCCATTTTATTATTATTATTATTATTATTATTTAACCAACCCTAAACCTTAAACCATAAACCCTAAATTCGTCTGGAATGGGGCGGAGATTTCTCATTTAGATAGGGAGAGAATAAAAAATATTTTTTTCGTTAGATAAATGAGGCTGGGACAAAATTATAATCTTCGTCTTCTTCCCCTCCTCGCTAACAAGCGCGCACACTATATATATATTTATCAGGATTTATGTATTACAAACATTGATGGTAAAAAATATGTTGCATATTTTATTTAATCGTAAAAAACTATGATGTAATATTAAAATTTAAAAATTTAGAAATTATGTTTGAAAATATCTTTGCAGATAAAACATATTGATTTATTAAGATTTATTTACGAGATTTAAAAAGAATAATAAGGTGAAAAGAAAAATCTACACGATCCTGATCTTCCCAAAAATAAATGAAATTTTTTGGTGAAAACGGAGAAGTGGACGACACACCGCGTAACACACCATGTAAAGTGGCCATTAAAGAGAAGATGAGACATAAGCAAGATACGAGCCACACAAGTAGGCACGAGTGTCAAAAATAAGTTTGTTGAAGGGTCAAGTAGGGTCTCGAGCCTTAACTTCGAAGTTCGTCCTTCCCTACTTTGTCCCGTGAACATCTATGCCTAGAATAGAGAAAAAAAAATCAAAACTTTCCCATAAATTTGATATTATTGAGATGAATGAGTTAAAAAAAAACAAAGATGAATTAGTTGAATAGAAGAGACATTACAATATTTAACTCAATTGGATCAGATTAAAACAGGTGAGTTTTGATTTTTCAAAAAGGAAAATAGATAAAGGCCGAGCTAGGAAGCCCAAGACTGAAACAATCCAGATTCGAATGTTGGGCCAGACTGCTATTCGGAACTCACCGACCAAGCCATAGCATGTCTATTTGGGCTCAGAGCCCAATTGGTGGCCCGATTTGTAGAATACTGCTTCACAATTATTATTTATTTATATATTTTTAAGGGAAAAAAAAAAAGAAAAAAAGAAAAAAGGAATTTGATCAGATACTCTCCTTGTATCTGTGTCAAATCCTTTTCTTATTTCAGAATTAAAAGTTCAAATATTATTTAGCTTTTCATAAATATTTCATGTTGGACAAAATATTTATCTGTTGTGAATTTTTATTGAAAAGCTTTCAAATGTTAAAAGGTTAAATGGTAAAATTGAAACTACTTTTATAATTTAGTCCAAATTGAAATAAATAAATAAAAACTCATATTTCACCACTTTCATCAATAATATAATCCACTAGGGTAAATGGCGTATATAACTCTGAAGAGTAAAAGTTATTATACAGTTTGACCTTTTCTTTTAATAATTTATATTTTAAAAAAATTAATATATTTTCATTGATGAAATTTGAAGCTGATGCAAAAAGAGGGGCTAAGAGCAGTCTGCTCGATTAAGGCTGTGGAGAAGAGAAGCAAAGAGACGAGAAAGAGGGTAAGGGAATTACCCAAGTTCACGTTTCTTCACGTTTTCTTCTGGGACTTCTCATATCATATTTGTTCCTTATTCCCAGCTTTCTAATTAAACGCACTCCAATTCTTACACCAGATTAATTCTGTAAATTTTCTTCTTTCCTTACACGTAACCCGAACCGCCCCTTTGATTTTTCTGCCCCCTCGTCTTTGATTCCGCCGATTACCTTCAATTCTTTCATTCTTCCCTGCTCTTTCCCCGATATTAATATCTGCCCATCATCTCTACAACTAATTTCGACTTGGGTTGCTCTTATATTCGGCTGCTTGCCCCCCTTCATTCATGTTTTATTGAAGGTAATTCTCATCATTGCATACCCACTTCCTTATTTTGCTTCCTCTTCAATTTTCGTGATCATCTCTTTGTGTGTCTGTATTATATGATATTCGTTTGAGCTCGAATGTTAGTCAATTGGAACCTTTGTTCAACTCTCTCCAACTTCCTTCTTTTACAATTGTGGACGACAAATGAAAATTTTGTACCTTTTATGTTTTTTTTTTTCTTTTTGCCAACTGATTCTGGCTATGATTCATGTTGCAAGATCATCTGCCTTCTCTCCCCCTTCCACCCCTTCCTCAAAATGCCTTGCGTGAGTAATTCAAACAAACCAATGTATAATTGTCAATATTCAGACTCTTCTAGTCTGGTTACCTTAGTTTTGTACTCCTCTGGCTTTCTTTCCTGAAGCTTATCAATTTGACTCCTCTGCAGAATAAAATTTGTTATGAATACTAGTATTATGATGAATGAAAGTCAGGCTAGAACAATGTTCTTAAAATAGTTGAACCAAGAACCACCAATGTGTTTATCCTTGTCTATGCTGTGCTTTACACGAGGCACTGGAGATTTGTTGACCTCTTTTTCCTAAAAGAGTCCTCTTATCATCCAAGCTTTTTCGTGGATGTCCTTGAGTCCCAATGCCATACATGACCAAACTTTCATGTGCTTGCAATTACTCATAAATCGTTTAGTAATTTTTTGTATTTGACCAACCCACCTCTTGACTCTTTTTCGTTATTTGAGTTGAACAATATGGTTACTATTTATGAAACGAAGAAAATTAAAAAGACTAGTTATCGTGCACTTTGGTAAGCAACATTATTTTCAGTAATCTTTAGTAGCTTTGTTCTGTGGACTTCCTTATATTTTTGTTTCGGCATATGATATGTTGATTCCAGGTCAAAACCTATTCGTTACTTGCTCTGGAATAACACTGTACAAAATACTCTTATTCTATGCTAGCCTTCCATTTTTAACCTTGTTGAATTCAAATGGAGTCGATTCTTGGAGGATGATATGTAATTGGTGAATGATGTACGATTAAATTGTTTGGTCCTTCATCCTAAAGATCTTTCCCCTATCTTCCTCCATACATTATTATTTGGATCTTGTTGCTCAAACGTTTCTTGTTGCTATCTATTTCAACTTCTTTCAGGGAATGGACTTACTGTACCTGCCCACTGTCTATCTTAGTGAATGATGCTCAGTGGAACAAGGGGTGCAGATAATGTTGGAATTTTTGGATGGAAAGCTCGTGGCGAATCATCTTTAACGTCTTCTTTGCTTAAGGATGAGCCACAAGAGATTGAACTATCCACCTATGGAAGATTGCCAGATCCTGGTAGTGAGAGCCCTACGGGGCTTCTCGATGGGGAGCGTTTAAATGTGGAACCAATAGCTGACCTGGACCTATTCTTTGAAAGGATCTACAGCTATTACTGTGACAAAGGGCTTTGGTGCATCATAACAAAGTGGATAGTGGAGCTTATGAGTCTTGGCTTTACCATATGTTTCTCAGCATTTTTCTTGCTATTTGTTGATTGGAATGGTCTGCGTAATGCCAAGTGTGGGATGGATGCTGTGGAGTCTGGAACTAAACCGTGTGATCTTGCCAAGGAAGCTCTTCATGAGCATCCCTTAGACCATGTTACACTTTCAAAAGCTATCATCCTTGGATATTTAGGCATATTTTCTGTTTATTGGATCTTTTGCTTTTTTAGGTTTTTTGCACAGCTAAAGGACATTTTAGGAATCCGTCGCTTTTATAACAACAGGTTCGTTGGACAAGTCTTATCATTAGATTTCATGCTTTTAAAATCTTGGTTAAATAGTAAGTTTGATCTCTATGGTTTCAAAAAAGTTAGAAATCAGTCTCTATGGCTTTAAATGTTAGAATAAGTCCCTATATTTTGATAAAACCCGAATAAATAGTCTCTATGGTTTGATAAACCCTGATAAACAGTAACCAAAGGGACTAATTATGAGATTTTATCAAACTATAAGGACAAATTTAGCTTTTAAAATCATATGGAATAAATTCTAACTTTCTTCAAACCATAGGGTCAAATTTGCAATTTAGCCTAAAGTCTTATCTTTCCCATTTCAGTTACTTTATTATGTGCTTCAGTTTATGAGTGATCATAGATTCATAATAATACCTAGTCTATATTTTTTGAAGTCTTCACATATCTGACAATGAAATCCAAACTATGCCATGGGCAACAATTCTTGAGAAGGTTGTTGAGCTGCAAAGAACTTATCAGCTCTGTGTGGCTAAGGATCTTTCTGCTCATGATGTGGTTATGCGCTTAATGCGGAAAGAGAACTACCTGATTGGGATGCTTAACAAAGGTGTACTTGCTTTTCCAATCTCAAAGTGGGTCCCAGGTGCTGGCCCGGCTGTGAAACTTGACTCTTCTAGGAAGCATTATCGATTAACATTGACAAAAAGTCTAGAATGGACCTTAAATTGGTGCATACTACAGAGCATGTTTGATCGGTATGTCTGTTACTGGAAATATTTCTCTATTATTTAGTAAATGGCTACAGATAGGTCTTAGACAGATCAAACATTAAGAACTGATACATCTTTTGTAATACTTTCCATGCGTATGTATGATTTACTTAACAAAAAATATATGTTATCCCGTCTGTATATTCATACTCTTATATCTCTCACCTTCACCTTGATAAACGTAAGTATTGGTCCAGAGTATACTGTTGTTAAGACCTAAAGCTTGAATTAATGTAAGCTTGCAACTTTTTTTTTTTAACCACAGGGATGTCTTAAATCTGAAGGTTTTAAAGATTTTCTTGCTTGCTATGTAGAATCCCTACTGACTGAAGCATATTCTTGTTGCAGTAATTACTGTGTTAGAAGGGAGTTCATATCCAATCCTAGAACGTTAAAGAAAAGGCTTGCGGTAGTTGGAGTGGTGATGCTCCTGCTTTCTCCATTTCTTGTCATATTCATGTTGGTATACCTCTTCCTGAGGCACGCTGAGCAGTTCTATAACCACCCAAGTACAGCATCATCTCGAAGGTGGTCAAATTTGTCAAAGTGGATTTTTAGGGAATTTAATGAGGTACGATGAGTCTCTAGATTTTACTTAGTAAACTTTATTTCTTTTTGTCATTTGTGAAAAGTTGTGTTGAAAATATTTAGGTTGTAACTTGTGACAGATTCATTATGTGACACAACAAAAGGCGGGATTTAGGTTGTAACGTGTCACGTGCGACAGATAATATTTCTAGAGGGGGGAGGGAGATTTTCAGTATTCATAATTGCTGCTATATCTTTGACAGGTCGAGCATTTGTTCAAACACCGGGTCAATAGCAGTGTGCTTCATGCTTCAGAGTATCTAAAGCAATTTCCCTCTCCCATTATTACGATAATTGCAAAGTTCATCTCATTTGTCTTTGGTGGCTTTGCTGCTATTCTGATCATCATTGCTTTTCTGGAGGAATCTTTACTGGAGGGCCATGTAATATACATTCCATTTACTCTTAACCTCTAAACCTATGCCTAACTGTATACTTTAATCTCTAAATATATGTTCTTTTACCATTCAGATATTCGGCCGCAACCTTCTCTGGTATGCTGCTGTTTTTGGAACTATAACTGCTATTAGTCGGGCAGCAGTTACAGATGAAATTTTAGTTCTAGATCCTGAGGGGGCGATGTCTATGGTTGTCCAGCATACGCATTATATGCCGAAGAGATGGCGTGGCAAAGAAAATTCTGAGGTTATCCGACTAGAATTTGAAACCCTTTTCCAGGTAAATTCCTAGCAGTTCATCTCATTTTCTGTATGGCTGGTGTGAGAATTAAACTGGTAACTTTGAACTTGAGACTATCCCTATCTTATTATAGAACTCAGGCGTTAGAGAGCTCCGTCTTCTCTTCCAGACCTGACTACCCCAGTTGACTTACCTGCTTGCTTAGCAAATTCTCTTAGTTCCCCGTTGCTCAAAACTGTCTCGAGTTGTAAAAAGTTGACCTTTTTTTGCTTTCATCTGTTTGAAATACAAAGATCATTTTCTTTTCTTGTTTTTCAATATTGCATTGATGCTGCTTTTCTGATGCAGTATACAGGAATGATGTTACTTGAGGAGATGGTCTCCATTTTTCTCACCCCATTCTTGCTTGTGTTCATTGTTCCAGAGGTTGAAACTTATAGAGACCTTATCTCATCTCATTTTACTGTGGCCACCTTCTTTCAGTCACCCATATTTTTATTTTTGCAGAGGGTGGATGACATCTTGCAGTTCATTGCAGACTTCACAGTTCATATTGAAGGTGTTGGTCATGTTTGCAGGTTGTTTTGTTACTTCAATAGTATCTTGATCTTTACTCTTCCCTTACACTAAACTATTCCTGCATGAAAGAGTCAAATGAGATACAAAACAGTTTGGGGAGAAGTAAAGCCTGGGGGGAATTCATAGAGTTCCTTATCTCTTCCTAAACCCATACTACCAAAACACAAGCATAAGCAACGCAAAAGCCCCCCCTTTGTCATGGGCTTCCTATATACTCATCTAAATACGCCCCCTCCCATCCGTTACTAACTCGGTTAAAGGGCCTTACTCTATATATCAACCCTATTTATACAGTACATTAAACCCTTCCCTGCATGCCTTTTCTCCTACATGTTTATAATTGGGTGGCTATCAGAAATGCAATATGGCTTCTTTTATATACTTTTTTTTATTTCGGTTCAAAATGTTTTTGGCTGCTTCCTTGTCTTCTGCAGTTTCAGTGCCTTCGACTTCCAAAAACATGGAAATAGCAGTTATGGGTCACCACATAATGCACCAGGCGCAGAGAGAAGCTCACAGGGGAAAATGGAGAAATCATTCTTGAGGTACGAGCTTTTCTTGACCGTGCCTTTTCTGATTGTTTCCTTATGCCAATTTTTGTTATCGAAAATATTTCTAGAATTGTTCTGATTTTAAATGGCATACTGGCAAAAATGTTTGCTGCATTTTCATAACGTTGTAGAGAAAGCAATCGAATATGGCCTTCACAATCTCAGCTTTAAAAAGGCCGGCTTCAATCTGCATTTGAGTTAAATTAGGATAACTCCTGATCATGCGGTGAATCTATACATAATCTATACATATATCACGTTGTTGTATCGTGATGCAACTTTTAGCAGCTTCGATAAAGTTTAGTGAAAAATATGTAAATGATAAAAGCAGAGCGGGTTTGATATTTTTGATATAAACATCTCTAGCACTTTCTTTGTTTCAACTTTTCAATTAGCTTTGATAGGAGTGACCAACAAGATAGAACATACTTTTGCTGAAGATTTCCAGGGCCCAGATACCAATTCTGTGAACTTGATTTGTATAGTGCTTTTATGTGAATCCTGAAAATGTTACATTCAAGATTCTTCTTTTAAAAGTAAATAGTGTCTTTTATTTACTGCCTCTGAACCCTCACACATCAAGTTGTGTTGTCACTGCAGTTTCTGTAGTAATTATCCTGCATGGGAACCAAATGCTCAGGGAAAACAGTTCCTGTCAAACCTACAGACTTTTAGGGAGAAAATGTTGCAGCGACGGGGACATGTACATCAGCCGCATGAAATGCATCAAGGGAGTCGCAATTTGGTCGGTCATCGGGACAGGAATGGGATTTTTCCGAGGGAACTACCTCGTGCAAATTCAGCGGCTGCTAATTGGACAGATTTTCTATGGCTAGATGAACACCAAAGAAACTTTCCATACCTACTCGATCATTATTATACAAACGCACCACAAGATATAGCCAATTACTCTAGGGACGTCCCTGAAGAACAATCTGAATTGATAGAGCAGAACTCCAGAATGTATTGGCTGCCACCCTACTTCACTCAAAGAAAAGGAAGGTACGAAGATTACTGGGAGGAAGATCATCTCGAGGATCGATCAGAAACTCATCTTGGGGCCTCCACGTCCGCTCCTATCCTTCGCGAAAGCATATTTCAGCATCAAGATTTTAACAGTGCAAATCCTGGTATTAAGACTCGGTGGTGGGATCGAAATACTGCGTCTGGTGAACAACCCCAAACAAGTTTCATGGATCCTCCCGAGTTCAACAGGTACACTACTACCATGAAGAATCTCAATGATAATGTCTCAGAAAGAAGCTCAGAGGAGCAACAACACATGGAATGGAGCGATTTCGGGAAGTTGTCTGGAGCTACCCACTTAGAAGATATAGAGACTGAAGAATTGGATCTTCATTTTGGAGATGTGTACAGCAGAACTCCAGAAACTCCAAAACCTTCTGCATCTACAAGCTTTGAGTAATTTCTTTTACTTTATGTGGAAGCTGTTGCTTTATATCCTGAGATAACATGTTGATTTTCTGGGTTCTTTTATATTTCTGCCTACTTATAGCAAGATCCTCAAATTCTTTTTCTGTACATAAATTCACCAAACAAAAATATTCTTCGTAGGCTTCTGTTTGGTTTGAAGCCTCTTGGAACCATGTGATGGTGTAAGTAACGGCACATTCAAGTTATTAATGACACCCAATTCATTCTTCAATCATATCCAAGTCTTCTTTTTTATATGGAAGCACTTTTTTTTTTCCAACTAATTTCATTGTTTATGTTAGGAATATAAATGGTGGGTCTACTTGATTTTGACTCCCTTCCCTTCAACTCAAAGCAACAATATAAACCTTTTTAGATTCTTTTTGAAATTTGATTCTTTATGTTTATGTTTATGTTCATTCCAATCATGAAAATCTTGCAACACAAATCTTATTGGTTAAAACCATGACTCTAATGAATGAAGTTTTCATCAATCATCTAATTAGCCAAGATAATTTCAAACCCTCATTAGTGAGCTAGTTTCTAAATTCAATGTTAAGAAGATTACAAGCAATGACATCCACTGACATAATTCATTGCGACACAGGTAATCTTACATAGAGGGGTTGAAATGTGAACTGTCAGACAACTATTTATGAAGCGTGAGCGCCAAACCATGCGTTTATTTTGAAGAATGTATTAGTTGATTGATTAAAATCATAGCTTCTGCAACACATAATTTACCATACTGGCTAAAGAATATGAAGATGATTGTGAAGAGAAGGAGCCTTCAGCTAGTTGACTCAGAGTTTGGGGCCGCTCTTCTCTGAATCCGTTCATGAAAGTATGAAACCAAGAACCCAAAAGAAAGGAGACAAGCAATCATTCTCAATGATGAGGACTTGAAAAAGAAAGAGAGGCAAGATAATGTTTAGTGGTTTAAGCAATGATTCCCACTAGCATGCCAAGTTTCAACAAGTTCTATTTTTCATCTCTTTTCCATAATGTGTAAAATTTCATAAAAAATTACAAATAACACCATTTGTTTTGTATGTAATATCTCATTCACCTATTAACTTTTTCACTACCTTCTGAAATCCAAAGCAAACAGAAACTAAATCTGAATGCAACCAATCAATCCTTATTTACATATCTGACTCGAGTGGAAGAATCGTGTTTTTGAATCCTCGTCCGGATCGAAACGGGAAGAAAGATCTTCGGTTTCTGCTGTCATTTTCTGCACTACTACTGCTACTGGACTCATTGATTTGCCTATCTTGATGTATTATCATTTGAACGGTTAAGTAAAGCTGTTGATCAGCTGCAGAATCCATGGAAAAGGATCTTCTGATGGGTTGGATGAAGAACTGTTCATCTTTTGCTCTAACATTGATGCCCTCATCTCCCATGATTGAAACATGGTGACACTTCCGAGTTTTGGATTTTCCAACCTTGTTCTCAAGTTTTTTAGGAGAATGGTATCTGGGCTGCTGAACCAGTGCTTCTCTTGAAATAGTACTTTCTTGTTGCCCTGTTGAGGAAACAACTTCATCTTCACTACCCAATTCAATGACTACAAAATCTTCATCACTGCCCATTAGGCTGTTGGAAAGGAGCTGAGAGTTTTGAGGAGATGAGCTTGGAGCTACAATGTGATCAATTGGAGGCTTTGTTGTGCCTGAAATGCTTGTTCTGCAAAGAGGGCAATTGGAGTTGCTTTGCAGCCAGACATCAATGCAGTCCAAGTGAAATGTGTGGCTACATTTTGGTAGAACTCTCAACGTCTCGTTCTCTTGAAACTCGCTTAGACAAACCACGCAGCCATAGAGACCACTACCTTCATCGTCTTTCTCGAATCGAAAAGTTGGGATTTGGCCAATCATCGACTGTTCGAGCCCGCGATTCCACATGGTTGGTGAGAGAGCTATGAAAGGATCTTCATGCTGTTGGGAATGAAAACTCGAAAACCGCCTCAGCAGACTAAAATGGTGCCAGTTAGAACAGCATTTGCTGATGAAAATGTAGTAACCCAATAGCAAAAAAACAGTCCCCATCACACTCAGAACTGCAACAGCTAAAATTGGAGAAGCAGAATCTGAAACACTAGAAAATGGTGAGTGATAGCTTGAAATCTGTTGCTTTGTGAGCGATGCAAAAGCTGGGGACTCAAATATATGGAGGCTTTTCTGGGTTGGTTCCATAAGCAAAAGTGGAAAACTAAGAGGTAGGATTCTTGAAAAAGAAGCAGAAGATGTAGGAAATGTTATTAGCTTGATGACCAACACTTATACAAAGAGTGATACAAATAAATTAATATTCATAAAGCTACTTTGAGAAAGTCAGAAAGAAACAAAATGATACTGGATTAAAATAATAAGATGAAGATCCACTAGATCTTTTTTTTTTTTTTTCTTCTTCTCAAAGAAAATTAAAAATTTAGGAGGATGAAGTGTGGAAACTTGAGGAACATGAACATGCATATGCACATGCACATGTACTTACATCTACATGGGCATGGGTTCGAGGGGAAATGATATCTATAGATTTATCTTGTGCATTTAAAACACTTTGTTGACTTCCATACCCACTGGTTTCATTTTGAAAATTCATCCTTTTCTTTCTGTTTAAGACAGAGTGAGAGAGAAAGTAATAAAGAAGTGGGGTAGGGGTGCCTGTGGGTTATTTAAAATATAAAAAGAAATGGTATTGAAGTGTGAAATCACACCTTAGTTGGAGAGGGGAACAGAACGAGAGGTGTTGGAGAGGGGAACAGAACGAGGACGCTGAGCCCCCAAGAAGGTGGATTGTGAGATCCCACGTTGATTTGAGAGGAGAACAAAACATTTCTTACAAGAATGTAAAAACCTCTCCGATAATATATAACAGGTCAAACCAAACAATCGGCTCTTTCTACCACGTTCAATCCTACATTTTATGTACAACCTTTCCAGATGGTAGAGTGAGCAGACAGAGAGCCTTGGCTCTGGTGAGCTCTATTGCCTCAAAAGGTCTGGAAATAAGTCGGGGGATAAAATAAAGCTGATTTATAAGTCTTTGTAAGAAAATTTCCAGTCTTGAATGTCTAAACATGTGTTTCGACTTCATATCAACAAGTACATGATCTACACTCGTGTGATATTTACACCATTGTTTTGATTTGAAGCAAGGAACCAGTAAACTTAAACTTCCAGTCTATCTAAACTATTATCATCATCATTCTCCGTACTTTCTCCTCCGGATATCATTTTCATGATCGTTCGTGTGGCTTTGCCAACAGCACGAGAAGTCTTCTTTGCAGCTCCAACAACAACAGGCTGCAAAGAAATAATGGGCAGACTTGCTCTCTCTTCAATCATTGCTGTATCATGCAGACAACATAATATACGCCGTTAAACTCTGGTGCTTGGTTTATAAGAACGTGTAGAATAAGTTACGAGTCAAACATACACATAGTTTGTTGGTGGGCAAGTGCACCGATCTGCCGAATTCCAGCTTCTGCTGCTTGGACGGCCTGAGCAGATTTGTTTACCCCATCAGCTATCTCCTGGCTGCTTATCAAAACAGAATCGACACGAATTACTCAGAGTGAGCAACATTTAACCTCATCCCACCTCTCCTCAATACCCTTAAAAATATTTCTACTTAGAACCAAGTATTCTAAAGATTTACCACCAAGTATTCTAAAGATTTACCAAAAATCCAGCATGCCACAGGAGACAGTGTCCATCTCAATTCAAATGTCTAATATAATTATAAAACCATCAGTAAGGAGATATGTGCATGGATAAGGATTTGTTCTCACCTTAGATCACTTAGTTCAAGAGTTAGATCACTGATCTCCATGCCTGAAAGTCTAATGGCGGCCATTGTACCAGGAAGTTCTTCACGAGCTGTGTCAGCTAGCTTTGAAAGTGAAATGGCAGCTCTGCGCATCGCCTACATAAAAATGGGCTTTCTTGATTAATATGTGGATTTGTATAAGGAGAGAAAAAAAAAAAGAAAAAAAAGAAAAAAACATGAATAAAAGCAAAAGAGTAAGAAAATGTGCTTGAAAGCTAAATGAACTTACATTAAATGTTGGCACAGCTGCAATGACAAGGCTTGTAAATGCCACAGAAGTCTACACCAATGAGCACTAATCAATGTTTATACAAATGCACAATGACCAATTATCTCATTAAAAAGATGTGAAAGTTGGCATTCATGACATATTTCCGTCAGCAAGCACTGGTCAGCTCCTATCAAGCCCACAATTCAGAAACATCCAACATAATTAACTCAATCATAAGGAGTTTTGGCAGCAAAAATCCTCAAGTAATTTTTTCAATTCAGAAACATCCAAGATAATTTAAATGTTCATCTATAGCACCCTAAAACCATGTTGAGCTACTCGAGCTTCTATGGAAATAATACACCATTGGCACCGAAGAAAAATTTAGTTTATTCGAACACCCCGGGCTAGAAGTGATCAGCTAAAGCAAAATGATTTTTTTTTTTAGTTGTGTGTGCACCTCAATTAATCTGACGAGGTCACCACCTGACCCTACTACATTTAGTTGCCCAAGATCACGTAGAAAATTTAATCATGTAGGTGCTTACCATAGATTGAACTCGTACCGATTAAGCTTTTTATTATTCTGATGACCCTTTTTGACCTCTCATTAGACCACAACTTCATTGTTTTGTTGGATTGTTTATATTTATATGTTTGTATTATATTAAAAAAATATGTCATCTCTATAATCCCTTTTTCTTTCCGGAGCTCAACATCTCTATTCTCTAAAATTAGATATTGTTTTGTAAGTTATTAGTAAAAGTTGTCAGGAGAAGCTTTGAAGAACCGGTAAGATGAGAAATTATTCTGTTTCTTAGGAACCGAGGAGGAGAAAAACAGGAAAAGAAAAGAACAAATGTCAAGTCTCAATGAGATATTTGTCATGAATCAGGCTTTGCAAACAGTCAACAACAACCAAAAATTCGGAGAAATTCACACAGCACACAACAAATGCTTAAAATTCGAGGCTATGGTTAAATTTACCGCAAGGGCAATGAATGTGAATAGAAGAAAAGCCTTATCGCTCAAGCTCAATTTAGCAAGAGGCCAAAATCCAAAGCTTGGGCTACCCAGTTCCACGCTCCATTGATTTTGCTCTGTATTCTCCACCGTCAAAGCCCCACTCGAATCTTCGACCCCCACAGATTGTTGTTCCAGAGCAGATTTCTCGGAATCCCGGTAGCAAAGCACAAGGAAGCGCGCCGGTTTGGCTCTCAAATTAAAGAGAAATGGTTCAAATTTACAGGGAGTGACAGAAACAATCGAGTTCTTCGTTGGCGAAGAGCTGAAGCCATGAAGGGGAAGCGAAACGCAAGGGCAATGGGTTTTCAGAAATGTCGCTGATCTCATTGAGGGAAGTTCAAAAGAAGTAACGAGCAGAAGGAGGGGAGGTGGGTTGAGCTTAATCAGCAGCCATTTTCGCTCCTCTCAGAATTGAATTGCCCGCCTGTGTTGAAGATAAGGGGTAACTCAATCCCGATTATTTTCCAGTTTGCCGTTGGATAATATTGCGTCTCTCTCAAACTAATCCCTAACGAAACGGTTTGCAAAAGCGCACACAAGGCCCATACTTTGGGCTTGGGCCTTGGGAAGCTTCTCATAAGCCCAAATACATCCGGCAGAAATTAACAAAGGATTGGCAACTTAGAATAAGGAGAAAGCAGGACAAATTAAAATGATAACGTTGAAACATGTTGTGAACACCAAACGAGACAACATTAAAGTTGTAAAATATTAGCAAATTTAAATGACACGTGTTTTGTTCTTCTTCCGTGGCGTCTTTCTTTGGCATGGCTCTCTCACCAAACTACTAACGTTAAAACTTGTACAACATTTTAAAAAGAAAATATCATATTTTAAATAATTAAATATTTAAAATTCGTCGTCACGTCACGCTTCAATATAATTAAAACATAATAATATTGATATTACACACTTCTAAGATAAGATATTTATGAACGCCAAATTCTTAATTCCATTTCTTTCACGTGTTTTAAAACACAAAAACAGGTTGGAATAATCTAAATGTTAAACCATAATACACCTTTAAGTTTATAATTGCTAAGATTAAAACATTGCTTAAACAAAATAATAATGACTGAGGTTGGTAATATTTTATGAATGACAGTTTCTTGAAATGTCATACTCATGAAGTGGCGAGTTGGTCCTTAATGGCTGCCCATATCCATATTAATTATAAAATCAACCAATGCCTTGTCACACCTTCAACTTCAAACACGTCCCTCCTTTTTTTTATTACATATAATATAATTCATTCAGCAAAGTCCCCCCTTGCCTAACAAAAAAGAGAAATATATGACCACAAGAACTTTAAATTTAAAAATTATAAAAAAAAAAAAAAAAAAAAAGTTGAAGGTGAAGTTATTTTGGTGAGCAAAATGAACAGGCCCGTGAAAAATATGGGATTATTAGAAATATTATAAAAAGAAAAAAGAAAAGAAAAGAAAAGGATTCATAATATTAAATGAGGTATTGAAACATTGCTTGAATGTATTCAGAATCCATCACTTTCAAATCAAATTACTTTATTGGAAGTTTTTCAAAGAGATAATCATCATTTCCGTTAGATTATAACAATATATATATATATATATTAATTTTCCCATTCAAACCCAAGTGATAATAACAAGATAAAGTGGGTACTTTTAATATTTGAATTTGGGATTAAAAAAAAAATACCGCAAACCGGACATTCTCAAATGTATATAAATAGTAACCATACAGTACTTACTAGAAGAGGGGAAAAAAAGCTTTTTATTTTTTTACTTTTGTAATAAAAACACTAAAACCAGCTATTCTTCTAGAAGGGCATGGACCCGAAAGGAATAAAAAAAAAATAATAAAAAAAAACATTATTAATAAATGCATGATAAATAAAAGAAAATGACAAAAGAAAAATGGAAGGTTCAAGCCATGGCCCTTTTCATCTAGAAGAAATCTCATAATTAATAAAGAGGAAGATAAACTGACAAAAAAAGATTGGCAGCCAAAGAGGGTTTGTAATTGAAATTGATGGAAGCATTGCAAGGTGCAATGAACTTATGAAGTCGTCTCCACTGAATTTTAACACGAGGCCGATTTAACGATAATAAATTGTTTTTAATAATTATTCTAAACCAAAAAATATATATCATTATTAGTATTATTTTACCTCAGCAAGCTAGTTGCTAGCTTTATAGCTTTATGGATAGGACTCGACAAAATAAAATAAAATAAAATAAAATAAAATAAAATAAAAAACTCGTATATACCAAATTTGGAGGCAAGAGCATCTGGTACGCAAAATCAAGGTGATTTATAATTTAAATAAATAGAGTAATGAAAATGAATAATAATAATAATAATAATAATAATAAGAATAAGAAAAGTGAAATGGAAGATGGTTCATGAACATGGACTTAAAATGGTGAATTTAAAATTGGTGGTCCCATTAAATTGGTCGATTTTGAGCAAGTTGGTGATTTGGTTGGGTGGGTTGCCACTCAAAAACCCTACTTCCAATTTTATGAAATTTTACAATTATTAAATCATTAATTTGTGGAGGGGGAAGGAGACTGTGAGATATAATAATTTATGAAAAAAATATATAAAAAGGGATATAAGATGATTAATTACATTAACCACATTTCCCTATGGACCCATTACTTCCTTTTTCTTTCATTTTCTTTCATTTGTTGCTTTTCCCATTATTTGTAAATTAAAACCCTTTGTGTTTGTGCTGTGTGTACAAAGGATTAAAACGAAAGATATATGGAACTAAATTAATAATAATAATAATAAATAAATAAATAATAATAATAAATAAATAAATAATAATAAAGGGAGTGAGAGGCAAGAAAAATGCAAACCCTCTATTTCATTCAAAGCTTGTCTGAAATATGCGACGGCTAATGCCAAAAAAATAAATAAATAATTCAGTCAAACGTTGAATTCCTTTCAAAACAATTAAAATAGTCACTTCTCCATTCTTTTCTACTTTAATTTCTTTAATTTCATCTTTTTTTTTTCTCTCTTTTAACTCCCAAAAAAACTTTTGTTTTTAGCATCTTATCTATATGTTTTAAAAACCCAAATAGTTTAAAATATGTATTTTTTATTTTTAAAATTTGGTTTATAAATTATAACCTTTTCTTTAAAAATTTGAAATTTATTGTACACAAAATGACCCAAAAAAGAAAATCAATGGAGCTTTTAAATGATTATCAAATAAAGGTATTTAGATCCACCTAAAAAAATATGATTTTTAAAAAAATGTGAATTTATCCGACTTGTTAATTAATTAGTTAGTTAAGTAGATAATATATTTTTAAAGACAACATGTAAATTGGATGAATTTTTGGATGGGTTTAAAACACGTGTTTGGAAAATTTAATAATATACGTATGCCTTTTAAATCTTTTTTTTTTTTTTTAAATATTTTCAACCACAAAAGTTTTTTTTTAGTAATTCAATTAATTTTAAGGATTCTTTTTTTTACTTATTTATATATTTTAAAGATTATTAAACTTGTTTGGATTAGATAATTATTTAGTTTTAAAAATTAACGTCTACCATATTATTTTATTTTATCTAAATCTTTAGATAGAAAAAAAAAACTTTAAAATTTTAAATAATTATCTAACCAATATTTTCAATATTTTAATTTATTTGTTAAGATTTGTAAAATTAATAGTTAATTTATTTGAAGCTTATCATTGGTGTTTTGGAATTTTGCATAAATCTATAACACGTGATCATAAGATGAGACTGCCACGTACAGTAATCTCATCTGTTTTCTTGATTATGGACCCGTAGGAATATCCTAAATACCTTATAAACCTTTTTTTTTTTCGTTCTATTTCTTCTTTTCTTTTTTATATAAATTGGATAAAGATGGTATGAAATTTTCCTTCGATCAATAAATAAAACATTATAAGACTAAAGAATAAAATTTAATGTGTATTAGTTTATATGATGATTGCATTTTTTTCAAAATTTATCAGAAATGTTTGCGTGTTTCCATATAATTACGTAAATACATATGATGATTAATTTTAATTGAAATACTTAATTTAACTCATATTAATCACAACATTAAATTAAAATGAGGTTGTTAATTAAATTCCAACTGGCATTAAAAAAAGAACAAGTATTTCATTAATTAATTTATCCTCCTGTGATCTAAAGCCACTAAGCTAAGGCACTCGTGCCATGTCCAGCTGTAACTCAATAACGTAATTGCCGTGAATTCTCTAAATATCTTCATGACGTGTCTGCCACGTACACAACTACTAAATTCCCGAACTATTCCGTTATAATTCAGGATTCGGTTACTTCAATATTTTTTTATTGAAAGAAATTAGGGATGGGTCCCATGCGCCGCCGGGCTCGTGGCGTCTTTTGAGCACGTGCCCCGGTTGCCCTTGCTATTCTTATTTTTGTTTTGCCGAGTTGTTAAATATAATTTAAGCATTATATTATAAAAACTTCTTTGCTTTTCACCCCCCCGTTATAAAATATTGATAACTCTGGCCAAATTATTTTATATATTTATTTATTTTGCGGATCGGAATTCGTCATTTTCCCGTTGTTATATATAGGCCTAAATATTCAAATTCTTTTACACACAGAAAGAAAGGAAACAGAGTCCTTTTTCTATAAAATTAAAAAAAGAAATTACATTGAAGATTCAATTTCCTCTAGAAATTCAAATGGAATCCTATTACTTTTCGTTCTCCGATTCAGATTTCTCGACGGAATGTTCACTCGGATCACCGGAGGAATTGTCGTTTTCATGGAGCGATTTTTTCTCGATAAACAGTGTGCTAGAAAACTCACTCTCACTGACGGATGAGTTTCTCGGCCATCAACCATCGGAATCGGAATTGAAGATTGCGGTGAAGGAAGAAATCGAAGTGAGTTCGATTGATTTGGAGAGGGAGAAAGAGAGAAAAACGACGGAGAAGAATTACAGAGGAGTGAGGCGGCGGCCATGGGGGAAGTACGCGGCGGAGATTAGGGATTCGACAAGGCAAGGAGTTAGGGTTTGGCTTGGGACTTTCGATAGTGCCGAAGCCGCGGCTTTAGCTTACGATCAAGCGGCGTATTCGATGAGAGGAGCACTGGCGGTGCTGAATTTTCCGGTGGAAATGGTGAGGGAATCGCTGCAGGAGATTAAGTATGAATTGGAAGAAGGATTGTCACCAGTGGTGGCTTTGAAGAGAAAACACTCGCTAAGAAGGAAGTCAGGGGCGGCGGCGAAAAGCCAGGGGGTGGCGGAGACGAAGAAGATGAAGAAAAAGAAGAATGTAGTGATTTTGGAAGATTTGGGAACAGAGTATTTGGAGGAACTTTTGATGCTGAGTTCATGCGAGAGTAGTAGTAGTAGCAGTAGTATGAGTCCTTTCTGAGATGTTCTTTCTTCTTCTTCTTTAGAAGTTTTCATGGCTCTTGAATTGTCTTACGCCATTAAATTTCACTTGTCAATACTGTAATTTTCTTCCTTTTTTTTCATACCCTTCATTCATGTAATATTAAAACCTTGGATTTTCTGGAAACTAAGTAACCAAGTAAGTAATATTTAAAACAGTATTAGTACTAATTAAGTAAGCACAAAAGTTGATAATAAAATAAAGGTGACAACCACAAATAGATGTACTGTGTTTATGTAATGCCATTTTGGGGACACTACTGTTTATAGATACGTAACCAATATAAAATATTAATAGAATATAATGTTTTGGGATTGAAGTCAACTTGCTCTTTCTCATTGTTCATCTCCTCCAATAATGTTGTATTAATTGTATGTCCCACCATGTTTCTCTCTCCCCTTATTTCAAAACATTACCATTTTCATTTCGTTCATGTTCCATATAATATTATACTCTACGTATATATATCATTTTTCAAGTAAATCTAGGAACTAATTAAATATTAAATTTAAATTTTAAACGATCAATAAAAAAAAACCCATACCCCAAATAAGAATTAAGATTAAATTTGAGGGATAAAAATATATAATTTATAGAAAATAAAATTACAAGAGTGGTTGGGATTTAGATGTGATCATCAATTTTGATAATGACATTAAATTAATATTTTGCACATCCAAAACTGCTCCTCTTAGCCCATAGATTATGTTCTTAATTGCTACCAAACATGTTAGAGAAGGTAAGATTTTTATTATGAAAAGAAGGAGAATATATAATATATATATATATATATATATATAAGAAAAATCGAATTATATATAATCGATAAAGTTAATTAATTATAGAAGATTTTAATAATATAAATTTGAAGCCAGACAAACAAATATAAACTTGATGTCGTGTACAAACAAATATAAAGACTTCTATTTTAATTTGAGGATGGATAATGATAAGATTTATAAATAAACTACCTAAAAGATTATAATTGGTTGACAAGTTACCAAAAATAAATATACATCCAATATTAAAGTTAGGAAAACAAAATTAAAATTTTTAAAAATAAACCGTATTTACCCTATATATATTTGAAATCTAATTTCCTAAATAGGAATTCGATAAATTAGTGTTTCAAATATTTTATTTAAAAAATTGAGTAAAAAGGAGTTTTTTTTTTTTGTTTTTTTTTATTTAAATAAAAAGAAAAGTTGCAAGAAATTATGGTTTAGCTCAAATCATTAACTAATAAATTCATTATTGAGTTAGCTTTGGTTAATCTTAGTATTTATTTTATTAAATTTAATCCTATTAACTTCCACTCTTATGAACGGTTAAACAGATGTTGGGTATAACTTACAACAACCTTTGGAAGCAGAGAAAAGGGGAAAAGGGGCGAGCGGGAACTGAAATTGGCGCGCTGGGCGACGTCTGTGCTGTGCTATGTCTGTGCTATGCTATTGTTGTTGTGGCCGTTTGCGGTAAACCAGGAAGAAGAGGTTCCAATGTTGACATCTCCTTCAACCCCTTTTCTCATTTATACCTCTGCTCTTCTCATCTTCAGGCTCCACCCTCTTTCCACAATCATCTACTCCTTTCTCTTTTCTTTTTTCCCTCTTAGCTTGTGTGGAGAAAGTAAGCAATGGGAAAGGAGCCGCTTCAAGTTCTAAATGCACTTGATGTTGCCAAAACACAATGGTACCATTTCACGGCTATCATCATTGCTGGAATGGGATTCTTCACTGATGCATATGATCTTTTCTGCATATCCCTTGTCACCAAGTTACTTGGACGCATTTACTATCATGTTGATGCAGCACCAAAGCCTGGCACATTGCCTCCCAACGTTGCTGCTGCGGTTAATGGTGTCGCATTTTGTGGAACGCTATCAGGGCAACTCTTCTTCGGCTGGTTGGGTGACAAAATGGGGCGAAAGCGAGTTTATGGCATGACTCTAATGATGATGGTTGTATGCTCCATAGGCTCAGGCCTTTCCTTCGGCCACAATTCACAATCTGTCATGACTACTCTCTGCTTTTTTCGATTCTGGCTCGGCTTCGGCATCGGCGGCGACTACCCTCTTTCTGCAACCATCATGTCTGAATACTCTAATAAAAAGACTCGCGGTGCATTCATCGCTGCAGTGTTTGCTATGCAGGGGTTTGGAATTTTAGGCGGAGGCATATTTTCCATTATCGTCTCTTTGGCATTTAAGACCAAGTTTGATGCTCCGCCTTATGCAGTTGATCCAATTGCCTCCACTGTGCCCCAAGCGGATTACGTTTGGAGGATTATTGTGATGGCTGGGGCTTTTCCAGCTGCTCTTACTTACTACTGGAGGACCAAAATGCCCGAAACTGCACGCTACACAGCTCTTGTAGCCAAAAATACAACTCAGGCTGCATCAGACATGTCAAAAGTTCTGCACATGGACATTGAGGTAGAAGCGCAACAACCTACTCAGCTGACACCAAATGCAAACGCATATGGCTTGTTCTCAAAAGAGTTTCTTCGTCGCCATGGAACTCACTTACTTGGAACTACAACTACTTGGTTCTTGCTTGACATTGCCTTCTACAGTCAGAACTTGTTCCAGAAAGATATATTCAGTGCAATTGGATGGATTCCTCCAGCTGCCACCATGAATGCTATTGAAGAGGTTTACAGAATATCAAGGGCTCAAACACTCATTGCTCTCTGCAGTACCGTCCCAGGCTACTGGTTCACAGTGGCTTTCATTGACAAGATGGGAAGATTTGCGATTCAACTTATGGGATTCTTCTTCATGACAGTCTTCATGTTTGCTCTAGCCATTCCATACCATCACTGGACTCTGAAGGACCAACATATTGGTTTCGTCATCCTCTATTCGTTAACGTTCTTCTTTGCAAACTTCGGACCGAACGCAACAACCTTTGTTGTCCCAGCTGAAGTATTTCCAGCACGATTTCGTTCTACTTGCCACGGTATATCATCGGCGTCTGGAAAGCTTGGAGCTATGGTGGGTGCATTTGGTTTTCTATATTTGGCTCAAAACCAGGACAAGAGCAAAACTGATGCAGGATATCCTCCTGGCATTGGAGTCCAGAACTCGCTTCTGTTGTTGGGTGGACTCAACTTGTTGGGAATCCTGTTTACTTTTCTGGTGCCCGAAGCGAAAGGAAAATCGTTGGAAGAGATGTCGGGCGAGAACGAAGATGGAACCATTCAAGAATTGGCGAGCCGGGCATGAATCAATTAGACAGTCAGTCTCATATGTTTAAAGAGTCCATTTATGGGATGGGATTCTGTTAAGAATAAATAAAGTTATATTTCTGTGTGATTTATGCATCTTTGCAGACAGGTAGCGAGGGCCTTTTATGAAAAATTGTGTGTTCAAAGGAAAATCATTCCGAACTCCTTGTTAACTTTTGAGAATTAAAAAAAAAGAAAAAGAAAAAAGGACAGGAATCAAATGCTTCTTTTTCATATGTTTGTTTGGAAAATTGTTTTTGGTCGATGCCATGGATGATGAGCTGAAACTCAGTTCATGAAAGACAATACACAAAGCATGCAATGATCCATGCGGCATTGTGTTCTTCATTTCACATCATAAAAGGAGGCACAGAAGAGAGAGTGAATTAGATCCACCAGAGAACAAATTTCCAATGATAATAGGTTTGATAAATTCTAAACATTTTCTATAGCAAACTTGTCTTCACCTGAGAAGCAGTGATAGCAACCACAACAACATGTCGATCCACCATATATCAGCATTCTGCAGATGTTAGTTTATTTTACGCTTTGTCCAACGTTTTCATTCGCCAGCGTTCGGTTTTACACATATCGAAGCTAAACCAGTTCATAAGTATTCAAAATACTAGCTGGTTTACCCCTTAGAGAGAACAAATTAAACAAATTAAACGGAGACTGTTCATTGAGCACGGTCTCTAATCACTTCCAGGTCCATCTCTGCAGGGTCAGTAGCTTGGATCTCATAGTGAATGCCATCCAGCTCATGTCGAAAGTTGTCTTTAGATGTTGCATAGAGCATCTTGGCACGGATTCGAGAGCTCGCTGGAGACCTGAAGTGCACACCAATGTGATTATCATTGATATGACATGACCAAAAGAATTCCTTTCATTGAAGGTCGTAACTAGATGGTTTCTGGAATAAGAGATTCAAAAGGTGCATCGGATCATCAACAACAGAAACGGCGAGCATTCTGAATAAGTATGTCAAGATTTTCGAGTTTTGCCCAAAAATTTCGATGTACTGTACTATGATCTTTAGAGAGATTAGTGGATGCATATAGAACCCTGAAGATCATGACTTGTGCAGTGTGAAGAGTAATGCATATGCACCAGAAGAAGGTATTGAATGAAAATAGCAAGCATACCAGATGAGTTATATGAATAACCAATTGACCATGAACATGAAGAACCCTAAGGATAACGAATGCTTTCCTAAGTAGGTTCCAAAATGTTGTGTTGTGGGCAAACCAATGAACAATATAGCAATAAGAAATGTAAGATTAAAGTTGATGATGGGTGAAGCTTAGCTAACCAGGCAATGAAGAAAATCTTGCTCTTCTGACAGTTGTCAGATGTCACAAAATCAAAATCATAAACAGCATAGCGGCAATCGTTGTCGGGCAGAGCAGCAGTGAAATCTTCATAGCTCTCAGCAGGATTGCCAATCTTGTCAACCACCACCTCCCTTTTCTTTTCATCAACCTTAAAGATCACATATCTATACATTTTCTTTCTCTGTAGTTCAGAAAATGTCTTCTTGGTGTGTTCATTCACACCCATTGCAGATAAAGTGTTTTGCTGTAAAGGTAGTTCAGTTCATAAATGTCAAAACAACCAAACAAGTAGCAGCAAGATTTAAAGCATGTGAATAGTTCAAAGAAAATGGTGCCAACAAAGTAAAAATCCTCAGCAAAATACACCAGCAGAAGTCCTTTAAATTGAACCATGGGATCTATAGTATTGTTCAATCAACAAAAGGTTTGATTAGCTGTAGACCAGATCACCATGATTGATCCTGAGATCCCCAATAGATTCTTGTTTTGAAAAGTTTCTAAAAAGAAATTGCAGAAGAAGCAAAGAAGACAGAAGTCCATCAACAGACCTGCCTGGACAGTCAAGACCATGACTTCCACCCTTTAAATCAAAGATTTCAGAGGTATAACAAGAACCTGAATCAATCAAGCACATGATCCATCTAATCCAACTCTTTTCATCAAAATCCACTGTACTCGTTTGAAATAAAGAGAAAAAGAAGAAGAAAGGAGAGTAAATAGCATCAGAGAAAAGGGTAAAGAAAGAAGAAAACATAAAATTGAGAAGTCAGTTGATGGGTGGTTGGGAAGGATGAAGCAGAGGTGAAGAATGTTGAGAAAAACGCAAGAAACATAAAATCGGGAGAAAACCCAGAGCCCCCAATTGAAATAAGGGTACACCCAGTTGAGTTGAAGTAAAGAAAGCATAAAAATAAGAACATAAAGATACCCGTCGGAGGCCTCTGAACGACATGACGATCGGAGAAGAGGTCGATGTGAGAAGGAGGATGAGAAACCTTGATCAAAGGAAGAAGAAGAAGAAGAAGAAGAAGAAGAAGAAGAAGAAGAAGAGAAAGGTCAGAATTGGTAGGCAAGAAGAAGCGGAGGGAAAGGCAGAAGATATAGACGCAAAAGAAAGGAAAGGGAAGGGAAGTGACTAAAGCTGCCAATTTCGCGAAACAACCCAGTCAAATATTCTCTCTTTCTCCACCCTTTTTCACCCAACTTCAAAAAATAAATAATGAGGAGTAAATAGAAAAATAAATTTCAAATATGTATATATTAAAAAAAAAAAAGGTTTGATTTTTTCTTCCTTTTTCGTTATAGAGCTTTTGTTCAAAATTTAAATAATATTGACTTTTGAATCTTCAATTTAAAAAAATATTCATAAGAGCATAAGAAATGCAACACCAAAACTAAATTAAGCATAATTGTAATTTGAATTTTTTTTTAAATTGTCAATTTAGATTATTCTTTCAAAAATTATTAAATTTTATTTAAAAAAATGCTACTTCTAAAGAAAAAGCCAACTTTGGTAATGTTCGTGTTGAATTTTGTTTAATATATTCGGTCAATAAATTATAAATAAAAATATTCATTTGAATATAGTTTAATAAATAAAACATTTAAAAATCATAATTTAATTATCTGACTTTTATTATTTATAAAGTTGTAATGAATGGATAAGACAAATAAATATAAAAATGTTTGGTATAAAAAATGATAAATAATTTTTTTTTTTTTAAAAAAACTGATGAGTTGAGAAAAGGTTGGAAAAGGTTGCGTGGTAGTAACGCAGGGTTGTCCTTAATGATGTGCTATGGGTATTGGAGGGCGCCACATTCCATCAATTCCTCGCACGTGTACCTCTTCCCCACATGCTTTACTTTATTCTCTTTTGATTTCATTTTACCTTTTTTTTTTTTCTTTTAAACAGATCAAAATTGAATTGAAATGTTTGTTTTTTAGGTGAGAGGAAACCAATCTCCACCGTCCAATGGCCCCACACCAATTAACGTCTGATGTAGATAACATTTGGTCTGAAAGTCGGCCATAAGTGGGGAGGGGGTCCGACGTTTCCTTGCCGCCGCGTATTGGATTATTGTTGTTATTATTATATTATGTTACAAAATAATAAACTAATAATAATAATAAATACCGGAAGTTGGAGGCCCAAGGTCAAGCACGCCTAATCTGACCCATCCGCCGCGGACCTGCTACAGCCCAGGCCCAATCATTTGAGCTTTATGGGCCCTCTCCGCAGCGCAGGTCAAGCACACTTGATCTGACCCAGCCGCCTCGGACCTGCTACAGCCCAGGTCCAATCACTAGGGCATAGAAAGCATAAAACATCTTTTTGACAATTATTTGTTGTCATCTATAATGTAAAAGCTTTATATGAATATAGTTTTTAAAATTAAATAACCCAAAATTTTGGACATTAATTTTATAGAAAAAATAACACATTAATTCTCTCCCAAAAGCATAGATTAATTTATGAATGATGTGAAAAATGATAAAGAGTTAGGTGAAAACATAAATTTCAAAGTTGGAAAATTCAATTTACCCTTGAAATTCAACAGTTTAGAATTAATTATTTGTGGACCCTTTTGCACCTTATTTTGCACCTTATTTTGCACCTTATTCTTCACCATTTCTTTGTCTTAATTTTCAAAAGCTCTCATAACTTTTTCTTTGTTTCTTTGTTGAATACATATAGAAAGTTAATTAAACTATTATTTTGTAATTAAGTAAGTTCATATTATGCATATTCCAAATCATATTGAAGTGTATGGCTTGGATTTTGTTGTGTAGTGGATTTTGATTCTCAGGCGGTGGATTTGGATCCTCAACAAGTTGTGGATGACAGAATTTGGATATAAAAATTAAAAACTAATCAAAATCAAAATGTGTGAATCTCAATTATTTAATCTTAATCCCTCACTCTTTCACATTATATTATCAACTAAATATATTATCTCATAGAATGAATATGTCATAATCAATTCAACGTCAACCCATAACACTAATCCCATACTTATTAAGAAATTGAAATATGAATTTAATCTCGGAACTCGTATTACTTTTTGGTTGATAAGGGTATGAATTTCATTAATGAAGAAAGTGGTGATATTGGGAGCTGTCGGCCAAAGTCAGTGTGATATTGATATCAATATTTGTTGTCTGTTTTCAAATCGGTACAACATTCCACACCTTCTTTCTCTTCAATCCACACCCTTTCTAATCTAAATCTAAATTCCCTGCAACTTACTTACTTTTTGTTTTACCAAAGCAATCAAATTTCATGCTTTTATTTTCTTTCTTAGATTAGTAAAACCATTGTATATATATGAGCAACACCTTTACCATATGTCAGGTATTAACCCTACCCTCCCACACCTACCGTTCATATCCATTAGATCACAAACCAGACAAGAGAATTGATATATATGTATAAAAAACTTTGTTGCTATTCGAGTAGAGATGTCTACAAGCGGGGACAAGGAATCCTTTTTCTCCCTATCCTCGTCTCTTATTTCAATTTCCATCCTCAAAATTCATCATTTATGTGAGATCTCGGATCGATTGGAGAAGAGAACGAAACATTTCTTGTTGAGAGTGTGAAAACTCCTCTCTAACATACGTGTCTTAAAACTGTAAAGGCTAACGTTCATACATAACAGGTTAAAGTTTTGGTTGTTAACATTTATTTTCATAGGATTCAGACAAAAATTTATGTTTACTCCGTTAATGATTTCACAACGAAATTTTGTGATTACCATGAAAACTCACATCCCACATGAACTACTACTAAAGCTTAGAGTTCCTATTCAAATCATGTAAAGAAAAGGGTTTGCAAATATAACAAAAAGGGTAGCAAATCTTTGGGAAGATCACTTCTTTTGTGTACTTTTAAATGTATTTTCACCTCACCCATAGCAATTCAAATAAACTAAAATTGAGTGCATGCAATGAATGGAGGAGGGGCCATGCGTAAAAAGCAAAGCTCCTATAAATTATCCACAAGTTTCTTGGGCACCATCGTCCCCAAAGGTGAAGCCCACTGTTCATGTTGACGAGATGTGCCTCTAAAAGTGCTTCATGGCTTGCTTTGAGACCAACCACAAGTGACATCATTACCACGTAACATAAAAGCTACCCTTCCTCATTTCAGATATATATATTAAATTGCAAAGCTGCTGACTAACTTCCGCCGATTCATACCACTTTCTGACTTGAATTGAGAAAATAAGAAACTCTTTTCATTTTTATATTATAAATTAGATTGTGTAAAATCATTATGAAGAATTGTTTGCACAATTAATAATTAATTCATCGTCAAAAATGGCTCACACCCATATGTTAAACAACAATTTAGATCAAAATCTTCCTTTTACCTTGAAGTTTCAAAGTCCCCCAAAACATAATTACACCTTTAATTAGTGGTTGTATGGCCTCCAAGAATTTGTTAAGGAATGTGCTAAATGCTCCATATTCTTGAAAATGGCTCCAAGGTTGAATTATAGTATACCTAATCAATATTGGAATACAACATAGGGTTATTCGAAAATTAAAATATATAAAAGAAAAATTAGGAATCTAAAAAGAATATTCTTTAAAAAATTGAATTATTGTAATGTTTAGACCCAAAAGGAAGGGGTTGATATATACACATCAGCCACTAGCCTCTTTTATTGACCTAAGTTCACCCATCATAGTTTATAATAAAATTCAACATCAAAATGTCAAAATTTGCCCTCACATGTATATATTTATTATAGTTATAGCTTGGAATTTTATTTACTGTATTAATATATTTGATTTGATGGTAAGAAGATGAATTTAAAAAAAAAAAAAAAAAAAAATGAGGTGGATTTGAAGGACATAAATTAAAGATTTAAGATTGAACAAGAAAAACGCACGTTTTAATTTGAGTAAGGAAGGGTGATGGGATGAGAATCATGAGATGGAGAGGCCCACGATAGAAAGGAAGAAAGACAGCGGTGAGTCGACGTTTCCTGGAAGCATTGTTGGCGGATTTTTGCCCTTTTAAAACCCACACAAGTGCGCCTTCTTTGTACCCTTTTCTGTACCCATCTTCTTCCCACTTTCCCTTTCATCCCCTTTTCATCTTTATATACATATATATATATATACTTCTTCAGAGCTCCAAAGAAGTAAGGGAAAGAGATGGTGAGAGGTCCATGCTGTGAGAAAATGGGGCTGAAGAAAGGCCCTTGGACCCCTGAAGAAGACCAGATTCTCATCAATTATATCAACCTCTATGGCCATGGAAACTGGCGAGCCCTCCCAAAACAAGCTGGTAATTCATTCTTCACTTCTTTCTTTCTTTAATTAGTTTCCTTTTCAAACCCTCCATTCAAAAAAAATCTACCTTTTCTTCTTCTTCTCCCTTCGGAGGAAGATGTCACTGTAATTATATGATATTATACACTTTGAGCATAAGCTCTCGTGACTTTGCTTTAGACTTCTCAAAATACCTCATACAAATAGACAGAGTATTCTTTTATTATAACCTCATGAACATTCCCTAAATTAGCTTACGTGGGATTTCTTACCATTCTTTTGAAATGTTTTAGGATTATTACGGTGTGGAAAAAGTTGCAGACTTCGATGGACAAATTACCTAAGGCCAGACATTAAAAGAGGAAATTTCACTCAACAAGAAGAGGAAACCATTATTAAGCTCCACCAAATGCTTGGAAACAGGTTTGTTTTTTTTTTTTTTTTTTTTTTTGGAAATTTGATTGATCACGTGACTCTGGTGTCCTCGTAAGAAGATAAGATAGGTTTAAGCAAGGCTAATTAATAATTAATTACATCCATGACTGCATAGGTTTTAATCCATTTTATGTCATCATGTGACACTAACCAACAAAACTGCCAACATCGAACTTAACGAACGTGTTTTTTTGTTTTCAACCGATTAAAGATTTCGATACTTAGCAATGAAATTAACTATCTTTTTCTTAATTTCTAGATGGTCGGCAATTGCTGCAAGATTACCGGGAAGAACCGACAACGAGATTAAAAACGTGTGGCACACTCATTTGAAGAAAAGGATTACACAAAATTCCGCCACTCCACAACTCAGAAATTACTCCGCTATGAACCGACAGAGCTACGGCGGCGATATCCCGGCCGTGGCTGGAGAAGAATCAGCAGCACAATCCTACAAATTTACGACCTTTCATTCCATGCAGAGCTGTGGTTCGGCTTCTTCGCCGCCCCATTGCTCCAGTGAAAGCTCCTCCGTCGTCACGGCAGACAACGGTGAGTTGTCGACAAATAATCTGCCGGAAGCCGACGACAGCTTCTGGATGGAAGTTTTGGCCAATGACCAAATCGCCATGGTGGGGAGCCAACAGGGATTTGTAGGTGAAATATATCAGGGCCAGTTTGGTAATTTGACTATGGAGCAGCCAATTAATGAGACTATGGATTTTTGGTATAATATTTTTGCAAGAGGAGGGGAATTGTCCGAGTTAAAAGAGATATTATGAATCTAATAGAATTAGTTTTTTTTTTTTTTTGAGGAGAGGAATTGGATTCACTATTACAAAAGTTGTCAAAATTTATGGGGTTTTTATAGATTAACGAAGTTTAAAAAATAAATAAAAAATGAATACAGAAAAATATACCTAAAAAAAAGGTATTTTTGAGTTAGTATATATAATTTCCATACTTTATAATAAATATATTTTCTTTTTATATTAACTGGTTGAAATATATTACTATTATTATTTTATTGTTTTAGAGAAGTAACATGTTTTTATTTTTGGTTTTGGTTTTTAAATATGATATGGGCATGTGGGGGTTCTCGTGATTCCTATTTTATTATATAGTTTGTCACCTTTATAAATTAAAAAATAAGAATTGATTATATTATAATATGATTGTTTTCCTTTTCATCTGAAACTAAAGTTAGTGGGGCGTTTAATGTGGATAATCTCTCCCTAATAAATAAATGAAATTTATATTGCAAATAGTAATGCCGACATTTATAAGATTTCTATTTTTTGACCACCATGTCCACTTAACCCACCTCAATTCCTACGTCGTATTCAAATTGGATTCTTCGCTCACAATTAGGTTAAGATATTATATCATATGGTGGTTAGCTTCATGATTTTAAAACGTTTTTACTAGAGAAGTTTTCACACATTTATAAGAAATCTTCCTTCCCCTCTTCACCTGATGTGGGACCTCACTTATAATTCACTCTTCTTGAGGGCCCAACGTTCCCTCTGACACAGATCCCAATGTCTAACTGTGATACGAGTTGTAATAGCTCAAGTCCACTACTGGCAGATATTATATTGGTTCGGGTATAGCATGTGGCAAAAGAATAATGAGAGAGAGAGAAAGAGAGACAAATGGTGGGCGTGTAATATAAGCAATTCCATGCATCACCACGTCCCGGATTCCATTTCAGAAATCACCCCAAATGTTGCTTCATTTCACCCCCAAGCACCCACCTTTGGCCCTATATATTAACCCCTTTCCCAATTCAATTTCATCCCACCATCTCCTTTTTAACCACTTTCTACAATGGCTACCAAACTGGTACTAGCGATTCTGCTGTGCTTTGCTGTATCGTCTTTGGTGAGCGCTCAGGGGCCTGAGAGGCGCCGCTTCAGGGAAGAAGCTCAGCAATGCCGGCTCGACAGGCTTCAGGCAAGGCCGCCCTCGCGTCGGATCGAGTCGGAGGGAGGCATTAGTGAGATTTGGGATGAATCAGAGGAAGAGTTTCAGTGTGCTGGAGTTGCTGCCATGAGAAGCATCATAAGGCCCAACTCTCTCACTGTTCCTATGTTCCAAAGCTCCCCCATGCTTATTTACGTGGAGCAAGGTATCACTCCCTACAGACCTCGCCTCATAACACTCTGTTTTAAGCGTATTATGAATAATTGGTTACAAATGGGGTGGAACAGGGGAGGGGTTCTTGGGGCTGAATTTCCCAGGGTGCGCAGAGACATACGAGGCACAATCATCCCAATCTTCAAGACGGTCTTCCAGGCGTCTGGGGCGTCGAGTCGGCGCTGGCAAAGAGGAAGACCAACACCAAAAGGTGCGCAGAGTCCGCCGTGGTGACATGATCGTCGTCCCCGCCGGTACTGTCAAATGGTGCCACAACGACGGCGGTCAAGACCTTGTCCTGGTCTCCTTCTTGGATCTCAACAACGAGGACAACCAACTGGACCTCCGCATCAGAGTATTCCAATTCTCCCTTCAAACTCAAAAACTTATTCAGTACCAAAAAGAGATCTCTGTTCTTATACATGTGTTTTGTACAGGCATCATTCTTGGCCGGTGGACTTCCAAGAGAAGCATTAAGGCAATTTAGAGGATCAAGAGAATCAAGAGGATCAAGATCGTCAGAGGATCTAGTGAACATCTTCTTTGGGTTCGATCAGGAGCTTCTTGCAGAGGCATACAACATTCCATCAGACCTGGCCAGGAAAATCCAAGAACAAAGGAGCAGCGGATTGATCGTGAAGTGCGAGGAAGACATGTCGTTTTTGACACCGGAGGAGGAAGAGGAAGAACCGAGTGCATCCCCTTCTTCCAATGGGCTGGAAGAAACCATCTGCACTGCACGAGTCCAGCACAACATGAACACACAAAAGGAAGCCGATGTGTACTCAAGGGAGTCCGGTAGAATCAACATTTTGAACCGACTGAAGCTCCCGATTCTCAAATACATGGACATGAGTGCTGAGAAAGGCCATCTTTTCCCGGTAAAGAACTAATTCATTTACCTCTCCTTCCAACCTCCATTCCTAACATTTGGCTTCCCCTGTTGCAGAACGCTCAATACAACCTGCACTGGTCAATGACCGACCACAGATTGGTGTACGTGGTGGAGGGAGAGGCAGAAATTCAGATATCAGATGACTACGGCAACCAAGTGTTGAACGAGAGGGTTTCGAAAGGAAACATGTTTGTGATCCCCCAATTCTACGCCTCACTAGCCCAGGCAGGCCCAGAAGGGTTCGAATGGGTCACTTTCAAGACCTCAAAGCAGCCCATGAAAAGCCCAGTCGTTGGCTACACCTCCCTCTTCCGAGCCCTCCCGCAACAGGTCCTGGAACAATCATTCCAAATCACAGCAGGAGAGGCCCAGCAACTGAAGCAGACCAGAAGCAGACACACTTTCCTGTTCCCTCCTAGCAGCAGCAGCAGCAGCAGCCGCCGCCGTAGGTTCCCTTAAAGAAGTTCCCTTTTGCAAGTGGTAGAGAGTAGAGAGATAAAAGAAAACGAATAAGGCCAGACGGTACCACAGCGCAGTAGAGTTTTAAAATCATGGTTATATGTAATAATAATATATGAATGCAATAAAAAATATGTGGCCGGCTGGCCTTCTTTCCTCATTTTCTGTTCATATATTTACCATTTTATTTTCACTATTAAGCATATGCATTATAGACTTAAATACGATCCATACTAAATGTGTAAATTCAAACAATTAATTAATTAATGCATTATACAAACAAAGTTTGTGTAATTACTAATTAACAACAAACATGTTTAATTAATTGGTTTCATTAAATGTATTTGTTGCAATTAAAGTTTTCCCGAGTAATATTCAATTTATTACTTATTTATTAACTCAATTAGTGATGGATTAGTACTCAAAGAGTGGACTAAATAAAACCTATCTCTCATTTTATAATTTAATTTTAACCCCAAGTTTTTGGGTCTCATTAGTTACTGAAAAAATTGGCCAAAATTAGCCATGAAAAAATGTTGAATATATAATGTAAGAGATGTAAATAAACTGTTTATATATATATATAATTTTTTTTTTAAATTTTAAATTGTGATTTTAAATATATATATATATTTAGATCAGATTATGAAAATTGGAAAAAGAGGAGGAATGAAGTTTAAAACAATTACTTATTTTAAAATTTTGAATGAGGTATTAAATTATTTGAAAGAATAAAAAATTGAATAAAAAAAAAAAAAAATGAAATTCTTAGTGGCATTTCATCAAATATAAAGGAACCTGATTGTCACTGTGGGTGAGATGAGGAATTCGTTTGGGGGAATTCGTTTGGGGGAATTCATTTGGGAAAATAAACAACAAATGAATGATAGGAGAAAACGACAAAGAACATTGATAAACGACACAACATAGAGTGGCAAGCAGAATAGGTATAAAGGGATCAGCATTTACCATCCAATATTTCAGAACCCGAAAGCCACCTGCAACATGACATTCAATGATGTGTGCAACAATAGGGTTTCCACAGCCATGCAATTTGAAGAATGGCTCAATCTTCTTTACGCGTGTCCCTGCTTTCTTCCCTCTATAAACCCCTATTCTCTCCATTTTCCACTTCAAGCACAGCCCTTTTCTACATCCAAACACCAACCATGGGAACTCACCGTTTCCTCTCCCTTTCCCTCTGTTTCCTCCTCCTCTTCAATGCCTGTCTAGCAACCGACCAGGACGCCAACTCCCACAGGCGCTTCAGCGAGGGCCAGCGCCGGTACCGCCACTGCCGCCTCGACAGGCTCGATGCCCTCGAACCCTCCAACCGCATCGAGGCCGAAGGCGGCGTCATTGAGATATGGGACCCCAATCACGAGATGTTCGAGTGCGCTGGCGTGGCTATCCAGAGATATATTATTGACCCTAATGGCCTTCTTCTTCCGCAATACACCAATGCCCCACGTCTTATCTACATTGAAAGAGGTACTCATTTCGGTTATTTGTTAATTAATTAATTAATCAATTAATTATACCCTGCGATTTTAACAGGGAGAGGGTTCAAGGGAGTTGTACTTCCGGGCTGCCCTGAAACATACCAAGAATCTCAGCAATCGGCGCAGGAGTTCCGAGACCGCCATCAGAAGATCCGCCACGTACGCGCCGGTGACCTCTTCGCTGTGCCTGCTGGTTCTGCTCATTGGTCCTATAACGATGGTAATGAGAAGCTTATTGCCATTGTTCTTCTGGACGTCAGTAACAACGCCAACCAACTCGACTTCCATCCAAGGGTGAGGCAACGCATCAAACTCAATTTTAAAATTAGCATTTAAATGAAATGAGATTTAACATGTATTAACTAAGATGCAGACATTCTACTTAGCCGGAAATCCAGAGGAGGAGTTCGAGGAGTCGAGATCGGACAGAGAGCGTGAACAGAGACGAGGACAGAGCACTCGGAAGGGATCCAGCAACAAGAACAACATCTTCTACGCCTACGACGACCGAGTCCTTGCAGAAATTTTCAACATAAACGTGGAGACAGCGAGGAAGCTCCGAGGGGAAGACGACTACAGGCGTAACATCATCAAGGTTGAGGGAGAGCTGGAGGTGATCAAGCCACCAAGATCACACGGAGGACGCAGAGGAGATGAGCGAGAATGGGAGGAGGAACAAGAAGAGGAGAGAGAAAGAGAGCGTGAGCACCACCAACGCCGCCGATGGGCTGATAATGGATTGGAAGAAACCATTTGCTCTATGAGACTCAAGGAGAACATAGGCGACGCCTCCCGCGCTGATATCTACACCCCTGAAGCTGGTCGTCTCAGCTCCACCAACAGCCACCGCTTCCCCATCCTCCGCTGGCTTCAGCTCAGCGCCGAGCGCGGCGTTCTTTACAGGGTAAGTAAGAATTTAGGCATACACATCTGGCTATGCTCTCACATAATTTAGTATATTATTTGTTATTTATTGTTATTGCAGAATGCGATGTACGTTCCACACTGGAACATGAACGCACACAGCGTAATATTCGTGACAAGAGGGCGAGCGAGAGTACAAGTAGTAGACGACAGAGGCCAAACCGTATACGACGGGGAGCTACAACAACGCCAGCTCCTAGTGGTCCCACAAAACTTCGGCATAGTGAAAAAAGCAAGCGAGGAAGGGTTTGAGTGGGTTTCCTTCAAGACCAACGACCAGGCAATGGTCACCCCACTGGCTGGCCGCACCTCCGCCTTGAGAGCATTCCCCGTTCAAGTCCTTGCCAGCGCCTACAGAATCTCCACAGAAGAGGCTCGAAGGCTCAAATTCAACAGGGAAGAGACCACTCTGCTGCCCCCAAGCATGTCATCCTCGCGTAGGGCCAACCCAGTGGAAGCAATGTAAAGGGCTTGGCTTGCTCGACCACTCGGTTTGGTAGGAACTAGGAATGGGCCGGTTTTGGCTTTTGGGCTTTGGTTTTATGGTGTAATAATTTAGGGTTTAAAGCTACCGAATAATGATGATGATGATGATGAAGAAGATGATAATAATAATAATAATAATAATACTAGTAATAAAGACGAGAGGCCAAGTTTATCTAGTTAATGTTTAACTAATAAAATGATCCAGTTTAAAGTGTAGATTACTCAAATTTTTGTGGACCCTACTCTCTGTTTGATTCAAATTTCTAGTTCAAAAAGAAACACAACACATGAGATTGAAATGAAAAAATGAAGAATTAGAAAACAGAAGTCAGTCCCACCAATTTTATGAGTGCGCTATGAAAGGCTGTGCTATTTGCTGAATAAGATGTACATGGGGACAGTGGGCTTGGCTTTGGATCTGTAGTAAACTGTCTTCTTGTACTTGAAATTTGGATTCTCAATTGTCAGCACAATCCTCCCTGGCTCACTTATGTAGAAACAATTCCTCAAGCTCTCTCCCACTTTCTTCTGATTCTCTAGCTGTATTCGATACGATCCTTCGTCGTCTGGCACGAACTCTTCCTTGTATACAACGTCCCATCCCACCACCGTCACGTCCCACACCATCGTCACCCCAACCTGGGCTGGGATTTCAATGGTCACAGCCGTGTTTCCTTTAATGTCGACCTGTGATGCTTTATCCATGGGCGAGAAGTCGTCGTCGTCGTCTCTCATAAGCCCGCCATATTGAATCGGCAAGTGTTCGGGGGCTATAAACCTTGATCATCGATCATCAAGAGATGGAATGAATTAGTTGGTGGAAGAAAAGAAACACAAAATATGTGCATATAGGAATAATTGGCTCACTTGAGAAGGGTCTTCGTGACTTTTGATGGATTGGCAAAGACGAGCTTGGCCTTGGTTTTGTGGCTGATGATCTTGGACCGAACAAGGTGGCGTGCGTAGTACCAAAATGGAGCGTTTATGACTATATTCTTATAGACGAGTTCGGGGTAATTGTCGCGTAACAGCAAGAGAGCTCTCTTGTTAAGCGTACGAAACTCCTTGGTGGCAGGTCCGGACGCGTTCTTCAAATCAGTGATCTGAAGAATAGAATCAACCCCTCCCTTTTCAAATCGAAGCTGTTTAATCCCTTTCTCCATATTCTGAACCATCCATCTCAACAACAACTCCTCGCATTTCTCCTCTGTTCCAAACGTCCTCTGCCACATCTCTCTGTCCATCAAAACCCCGTTTGAGTGAAACCACAACGGATGCCCCTCCCGATCTCGACCGTTCAGAAAACCCACCAAACTCTGAAGATCACCGTCCAATTTCTCCTCAACAATCCCATCCGCCTTGTATTCTCTGCGCCATTTCAAAGTCTTTCTCAGCATCTCAAATGCTTCGTGGACTTTGTAGTGTTTGGCTTTCAAGAACTTGTGCAACAAAATGTCGGTTCCTTGGTGGCCTTTACTCGGCAATAAAGGCACTCCCCATAGCGTTATTTCTTTGAGCTCTTCTCTCGCTTTGTCGGCGTCTTTTATGTCAACATTTCGGTCGGGTTTGCCCATCAGATAATTCCCTGCTATTGCATCCTCCACTCTGTATCGCAGTTCTATCAAAGCCTTCTTCTTTTTCTTCTTTCTCATCTTCTTTTCCATTGCCTCCAAATCTTTCTCCACCATTTCGCCGTCCGATCTCTCCTGCACGTGTGTTCGTTAAACATGAATATCAAAAATTAAAGGTGGAATAAATTTATGAAAACAATTAATTATGGAGGAGACCAGATCGTCGTCTAGAAAGTAAAGATCTTGGTCCAAGTTCATGATGCTCTTCAGATCGGTTTCCACAGTAATGTGGTCGTAGATCTTCTTCCCATTTCTCCCGGCCACCATTATATCTTCTTCTTGGAATTCCAGGACTCCGGCGGCCGGTGAGAGAGGATGCCGGAAAACCGGATGCGGTGTGGCTAGAACAGATCAGAACCAAGGACTGACAAATGCAAATTGAGGGTTCATTGAATGGAAAGAAAAGAAGCTGTCTTGAATCATCTCAGGGGTGAGGCTGTAAGTTCTTCAAACCCCCTCAAAGCCATTAGTTTTTCTTCCACCAAATTTAGAACTTTTTTGCTTTTTTTAACATTTATTTCCAATCATGTGTTCCTAACAAAACTCATGAACTGATTTGTAGATATGGTCTGGCGGTTTCCAAATCCGTGGTTCTTATCAATTCATCCCATTTAAAATATCCCTTTTTACAATTACAAAAAAAAAAAAAAAAAAAAAAAAAAAAAAAAAAAAAAAAAAAAAAAAAAAAAAAAAA